GGTCCTCAACTCTCAACTCTTATTTAACAATGAGGCCTAACAAAGAGGCTGGCGGATCTGTGTGAGTAGAGGTTACCGACTGGTGGGCTTCACTATAGGGCACTAGGCAGGGATGTGACTGTTTGATTGGAGGCCTCCTGCACGTATCAGAACCTATAGGTCTTCTCCTTTGTGCTGGTCATTTTCTCTAGAGAAGTAATCTGTTTTAAGCCAGGCTGGAGGATGAGATCTAAAGGCTTCATTGTTCTTTTTAGAGACTTTCAAACAAACTCTTATTTTGTTTCATCCATCACTCTACCTCCAGAAGTACCAGGTGCCTCCAAGTTCTGAGCCTTTCAAGAGCTCTGTAGTGCAAATTAGCCTTATTCTTTTCAGTGTTAAACATAAAAACACTTAACTTCTACAGCTTGTTGGGAACCGCCCTGACTGGTATCAGAAGCTGAAACCCCCGCCTAGGCTAAAGCTAAGGGAACGCCCTTGGAACCGTAAGCCGGCAAGGAGATAAAAGCTTATCTTCCTGGCAGGAATGCTGCTTCTGCTGCTTTATTCATAACTGAACCCCAAAAAGCTTGGTCGGGTTAGCCAAAGACGGGTAAGATTCCCCACGGGGGAGCGACCTAAGCCAAGCACAATCACTTTGGGAGGCCCCCCAAAAGAAGGACTTGGGGGGCTGCAGCAAAAGGGGGTGATGGACCCTCGCTCCTCGGCTTTGACATAGCCTGAGTTCTCAGCGTCTGGGAGAAAATCTCCTTATCTCTCATTGCCTTAGTTCCCTTGCTCCACCTAAGCCTGAAACAATGACAGGGTGGTGCAGCTCGGTACTGAGAAGTGCGGATTCCCTGGGTGATCAGGCCTAAGAAAGAACATGTAAATTACTGTGAAACCTTCTTTGTTTAGAATGCTCTCAGTTGAATGAGAAGGGTCTTAGGAGGAAGTTAGTTTGTTCCTCAGTCGTACAGCTCTTTGACCCCAACTCAATAGACCGGCAGAGTTCTTTGTTTTCTATAGTTCCTTACTTCCCCTAATGAGTACTGTACTTTACCTGAATTATTATGCAAAATGAGCCCAATAAAAGCAGGTATGGGCTGTAAATCGGCGCGCTCCCCACTAGGGAGGGTGGCCATTTCGTCCCTACTTCCCCACAGAAACTAGTCTGTCTCTGTGCATGTGTTGTTTTTTCGTGCATGTGTTGTTTTTTCTCGCGTGTGTTTCGGCGAGCCATCCACAGTGTTCCGTGGTCACTGCTGGCCGGTGACCCACGCGCAACACAGCTGAAAGCCTTTTTAAAAGAAAGGGTTTATTGAGCCATATGCTTACCAGAAAAAGACCTGGTCCTGGAGCTTGAAGTCTAAACCACCAGCAGCAGCACTAGGTGGAGAAGGAAACATGTCCACCGTCCTGGAGTTTATACACCATGTTTTGGGGAAGAAAGATGTAAATTGTTTTTGAAAGAATTTATATTGGCTGTAGATAAGGGAGCGGGGAGTGAAGTAGGGGCAGTTTTGTGATAGAAGCACAGCCTGTAAAGAAGAAATATTTACTACTTTTGATTGGTTACAGGCAACGGTCCTGAGGGTTCATGCATAGTCAGGATGCAGTGGTCGGCAAATAGACTCCTGGTGGTTGACTGAAAGCTCCCACATACACTGAGAAATGTGAGCAGTCTTTTATTAACTGGTCCAGAGACATTAACTGGTTAATTATTCCCATTGCTTTCTCTCACTCTCCAGCAGCAGTAATTTAATTTAGAACTTCTCAGAATTCTTCTCTTGTGATTGGCTTCTGTCTAGTCTACTTGCTCCTCCCCCCAATACACACACTATCTCTTAAAGGCCCAGAGCTTTCTCCAGGTCCATAAATTAGTTACCATTGTTCGATTGCTTACCTGCTTATGAACATTTTGACATGTTTGTCCATTTTTATATTCCATGTTTTTCTCTTGTTCTTTTGAGCTTATGTCTCTTTTATTCCTTTACTGTCCTTTTAGTGAGGTCACAAGAGGAAATGGAGATAAGCAAATGCATTTATTCAGAGAAACTATATTTATTCTACAATGCTATTTGCTTTGGTGTTGTAACTGGTTGTGAAAAAGACATGTTTTTGTGTTTTCTTTTCTTTCCATTCCAAGCCATCCACACAAGAAAGTGAAAGGAGACTAAAGAAAGGGTGATATTTAAAATTTTTAAAATCTCAAATCATTGACAATTTTATCTAATCTTTTAATAAGGCATTTCTATGTGACTATTAATATTTGTCTTCACAACCATTAACATTCAAGCTAGACGATAAATCGTGTGTGTCCCATTCCCTCTGGTCATCTTTCTGCATCTTGTTCTCTCTCAACCTTCCAATGAGGGGTGCCTCTTTCCCTCCCTTCTCTGTGGCTTCAATCCTGTGGTGGTTCTGTCTCTTACACAGGCTTTCACTACAACTGTGTTGTCACAGACGCACTGCCCAGCGAGTTTACTTATTGGATAAAGTAGCTTTGCTCAAAGTGTTTACTAGTTCAGTAAGTAAACATTTATAGAGTTTTAAAAGTTGTTTCTTGAGCAAACCCTGTATGTATACTCAGATGCAGAAGTATAAAACAATGCCTAAACTATCTACTATCAGGCATATAAACCAAATAGCTAAGTATCAAGTAAAATATTTTATTTAAAACATTAACCCAAGGGAGTTTATACTTTTTTCTTAAACAGTGCCACCTTAGCAAACAGGCTGAATGAATTTGAGGCCCTCAAATTTATCAAGCAGACAATCAAGCCATAATTATTTGTTGAGTATGTATGTGTTCAAACCCGAATTGGTACCTGGAGGAATATGAATAGAATGTATTGTTCCTGCTCTTCCCTCAGACATGTGGACATGTCATGTGAAGTCCTCATTCAGATCAAATGCACAGGGTTGTCATTTGATATGAGAGACCAAATACTTTTACTGTCCAGTTGCTGAGACAAAGTTACATATGAAAAATGCTAGTAGCACAGCACACCTAAGTGTTTTATCATCTGTTGGAGCCAGCAAATACTATAGACATTCAGAACAGAAGGTCAAAGGAGATGGAGTGGAGAAACCACAAACACTGATTGAGTTCCTACCCCATAAAGCTTGTGTTTTAGCTGGTGGAGGAACAGACCCAGAGAGAAATGCCTAGCCATTTGGGTTGGCCATGAATGATGCACTGGATTTGTGAGGCAGAAGAAAAAACATTCCATGGAAGAAAGAAGGTGTACCTTAAAACAATAAAACAAAAGGAGGTATATACACCATTCTGGAGAAGAAGGTAGGAGTCACAGGGAGGTGAAAAGTGTTAATGCGGACATGTAGAGACCCCAGGACACAAAGGTTCCTCCCTGTCTGCCACACCTAGCTCAGATTAAACAACCACTATCTGTGGTGAAAGCTCCTTCCCAAAGCCTGCTATAGGCCTTTCATCTTAAATTCCCTTAGCACTTAGAAAGAAGGTTGAAAGTTCTTCTTGAGCCTTCTGGGCCTTAAAAATAACCAACTTAAAATAATCAATAACCCAAAGAGGCAAATTTTGTGGTTGCAAACTTTTCTGCCCTTCAGGTTCATGCTCTTAAGAGAATATGGCAGTATTGGAAGAATGCGACTATGACGGCGCTTGGTTGTTTTTGGTAAATAACTTTCTATCAACTTCTCAAGTCCCACTTCTTTGTGGAGAAAGATAGCAGGCCACATAGTAGAAGTCCGTGTCGGTTGCACTAGGCGCTGCATTCTGGGCGACTGAGCATATGAAGCTAAGGCCATAGATTCTGCTTTTCTGATTGCTAAGCCAACCTGGTTAGCAGGCAGCTGCCTTTCTTTGTCCTTGCACACATCACGCTTGACAGTGCTTAAGCAAACGGAATAAGCAACCGCTAGGAGGTACTCGAGCTATGCGTAGGACGCCAAGGCAAGCAAAAAACGGTTAACAGTGGGTCCATCCGCTCCGCAGGTCCAGGCGGGTGGCACTTTTCCAAGGTCGAGGTTGCGAAGAAGAGCTAGTCCATGGAGCAAGAAAGACCAGTAAGAACAAGGGTCCTTTAACTTGAAAGGTGGAGTTGGCGAACGAGTCTCCAAGTCACTGTCACGTCGTGAGGTGTGAGTGCTTGGGCACCAGCTACCTACACATCTGGGTGCAGCAATGCCTTTCCCCGCAGGGCGGAGGGGAGGCGGAGGACTCCGACGTGCACGCACCTCCTCCCTCTCTCTCGCGCGCGCGCGCGGGCCCGTGAGCGTCGGTGTCTCTGTGTGTGTGCACGCGCGCGCGCGCACGCGCGCTCTGGTGTTGGTTGGAGCTGTGGCTCTGGGACCGGGTGATGAGGGTAGGGGCCCAGGAAGAGATAATCTCCCCCGGACTCCGCGCGTCTCACTACGTGTTAGTAACAAACCAGGTACAGAGAGACCAGGGTGACCGGGCAGGGTGACAGTTCCTGCACGCCGGCTGCATGTCTAACGGTCAGGTTACTAGCTACTCTCTGCCACACTGAAGGATATATATATATATATATATATACACACACACACACACACACACACACACACACACACGTATATACATATACATATATATACATATATATATGTATATATATATATAATTTTTTATTGTTTGCATCTATCTCCTGAGAGCAAGGGCGGAAGAGAGGGCCGCACGCTCCAGCCGAGCTTCGCGGATCTGAACGGGTCGAAGGAGGCAATTTTGCGAGTGGGGGAGGGAGGGGGACCTTGATTTCCACCAATCCCCGGGCGTTTGTCTGCGAAGTCCGGGGCGCAGCGGAAGGCTGCGGCGCGCTGCTGAATTAACTGATGAGATCGAATTCTTTTCTTCTCCGGGAGAGGTGGGGAGCAAGGGTCCTGGCTGACGAGGCAGGGTAGCGGTCCCGGGCCGCCGTGGAAATTTCCAAGGACTTGTCGCGGCACGGAGAGCGCGTCTGGAGGGCGGGGGGGGCGGATGCCTGGCAGCGCGGGAGGCGGGGAGAGACTGCGAAGGGCGCAGGAGCATCTCTCATAAGGGGACGGCGCGGACCATGTCTGGGAGGAAGCCCAGCGGCTCCCCGGACACAAGAGAAGAACGACAGTGATGCTGCAGAACCAGGGGGAGCGATTCGCCGACGTCGCTCTCTGCGCTCTCGGAGACCCCCAATGCCCGCCTTCTTCAGGGGAAGCGACTATGGCCACAGCTTGTGATTTTGCCCCTAGCCACTTCTCTTAGAAAAAAAATCCTTGAAAAAGTTGCATTTAAAAAATCCTTGCTCCGACCTTTGGAGCCGTGAGGGCTGAAGAAGCGTTTGTGCAAGTGCAAGCAAGAAAGTGGAAGGTGTGTGTGCATGGGGGTCCCGCGGTGGGGGCGCCCTCCGCTGCCACTTCGCCTAGCGTCGTGCTGAGGTTCTGGTCTTCATCCCCCGCCCCTCACCCTGGGACCCTGGGGCTGCGATGAGCCCCTGCGGGCGGGCCCGGCGACACACGTCCAGAGGGGCCATGGCTGTACTGGCGTGCAAGTTCCCGCGGACCCGGCTGCCAGTGGGAGCCAGTGCCCTCTGTATCGTGGTCCTCTGTTGGCTCTACATCTTCCCCGTCTACCGGCTGCCCAACGAGAAGGAGATCGTGCAGGGGGTGTTGCAACAGGGCACGGCGTGGAGGAAGAACCAGACAGCGGCCAGACTTTTCAGGTACTCCTGCCCTCTCGGCTCCTCCCCTCTCGCGTCCTTTCCTCCCAGTGCGCCAAGAACAGGGTCACCAGCGACGCCCGCCTCACGGAGGCAACACTTTTCATCCAGGCTTTCTTGTCCTACTCCCTTTCCGTTCTATTCCATTCCCAACCTGGAGACTTTAGTCAGAAGCCCTTCCCACGCCTTACTCCAAGAGGTGTGCAGGCACCTGCTTTGTGCGCATTTCTGGCCAAGGCTGAGTTGTATTCAACCATTAGGAAATAACTGGTGGGAAGGGAAACTCAGGCGAACTTTATGCCTAGCCCTTATTGAGAATTTATTTCTCGGTCTCTGTAGACGTTTGAAGCTATAGAAAGCTAGAAGCAGGTAGGGGGTGCCTTAATGAGGTTAGGTAAATGGTTGGCAACATAAATCACTAATGAGGGAGTAATGGCCAGGTCTTGGGCAGTGAAAACATGCACACTCAGCCAGGCTCCAGTGGCTTTGTGTGGTGTGCCCATAACAAACACAGGGCACTCACGGATGCCCCACTAAGAGCCAGGTGGTATGTGATATTTATGTTGAGGTCTCAACAACTTTCTGATAACAGATGTTAACCCCATCTTACAAACCACAAACTGAGTCTGTAGAAGGATGAGCTATTTCCCCAAGGTCATGTACCTTTGAAGCCTCCCTGCTGGGATTTTCATCACAAAACCTCTAACCCTCCCAGGTCTTTCTCTTGACTTAGCCTGAGGAAGCCTTTTGAAACAGGGGAGACTGCTTTAAGGAAGGACTTTAAATCAGAAAACAAACACAAAACTATAACCAATTTGGATACCGGAACTCTGAGGATCACGCAGAGGTTGTAGTTTCCTTTTCTTTCTGGGAATTTCAGTTTAAGTGTCTAAAAATAAGTTTTTGGCAGGAGGGGTTTTATGTGGATTGGAAGGAAGGTAGAGCTGCTTCCCCTTCCTGTCCACTTCCCTGGGCATGTTGGGGGACACACCAGTGCTCTCACTACTGCCAGGCACCCCTTTCTCCATCAGTCCCTGGAGGTGAGGATGCTGCAGTTGACTCTTTTGTGACTTTAGTGGTTTGAATGGGAAGTGCTTTCCTTAGCTCTGCAGAGGATCTTTCAAGCAGTATATGGGCAGGTGAGAACCCAATGTAAACATTTTTAATTACTGTTACAAATGTTCAGAATCTATGAATTTAGAAAAACAATGTAAAAAACATATGGTTTCCCTTCTCATTTCAGGCCTGCTCCTGGAAAGAAGGTCAAAGAGCTAATAGCCAATTCTTTTAGGGAAGGTTGCTGAATTCTCCTTTAAACCAAAAGGGAAGACTTTTCTTCTTTTCTCACTCTTTTTAGATTTCTTCTTTCATTAAATTTAAAATAACCCCACTCCCCTTAGAAGGATATAAGGGTTAATCTTCTTTCACCTCCACGGTATTGAGTATTGGACTCAAAAGCACCCAAAAGGCATAGCATCCAGCAATTCTTTTCTCTAAAGACAGAAAGCACTTTCATTTCAAGTAGTATAAGGAAATGAGTTAAGAACTTCCCATTGGTTTGCAATGAAAGAGTCCTTTTTTTTTTTTTTTTTGTATAGGAGGAGGAATAATGAAGCTCTGTTAGAGGGTAGATTTCTTTTGTAGGACATAATCAAGTGGAAAATGGTTCATATTCTGAGAAACACAGGCTGGTAGTTTCAGAAACACATTTGCCCCTTGCTGTCTGTAGCCTGGAGTAATCTTCCGTGTGTTTGGCTGTCATTTGGTCTATCTCTCTGCGCTGAGAATTACTTATGGAACACACAGTACAAAAACTGCCTAAACACTTACCCCTCAAAGTTAGTGTCTGTAAAATGGTGTGAGAGGCTCGGTTGTTTACTGAAAAGAGTTTGGGTTTCAGAGTAGAGACCTGAATTTTTAGACTGACTATGTCATGACTAGGTAAACAGCAGAGAATCTTTGGCAAGTTATTCAATCTCTTTGAGTCTTAGTTTCCTTTTTTATAAATGGGATAATAACATCTACTTTGCAGGGTTAGTATAAGGGTTAAATAAAAGAAAAAACTAATGCTAAGTGTCTGGCACACTTACCCAGTCAATGTTGTTATTATAATTGTTAAAATTACAATTTTCTGTATATATTACAACTTAAATAAGGACAGCTTGCCAGCACATGTGAATTTGGAATGTACCACCTGCCAAATTTGAAAAGAAACTTGATTGGGCCGTATCTGCCCACATTATACCCCTCACACTTAAACTAATTAATAGTGACAATGAGTATAAAATGATCATAAAAGTATCATGGTTTATTAAGTCAAAAAATTCTTTTATTCTCATGTTAAAATCCACTGTTTTCTGGTGTGGCCCAGTGGTTTGAACACTGGCCTGAGAACCAAAGGGTCACCAGTTTGAATCCCAGTCAGGGCACATGCCTAGGTTGCAGATCAGGTCCCCAGTGGGGGAGGGGGCCACTCAGGAGGCAACCACACATTGATGTTTCTCTTCCTCTTTCTCCCTCCCTACCCCTCTCAAATAAAGTCTCTAAAAAAAACCAAATAAAATCTTTTTAAAAATCCACTGTTTTCTTTCAACCATCTGGATTGTTAGTGTGGGAGTAGTCATGTTTGTTTGTTAAATATTAGGTTAGACAGAAGACTGTATTATGTGTAGGAGACCCTACTTTGGCAAACAGGTACCTGTATTTTCCAGTTTGAAATATCTTCTCCACAAATATGTACATATACATGTGTATACATGTATACATATACTTATATACATATATACATGTATATATTTGTGCAGAATATAAACATAAATATATACACAAATGTGCAATATGTACTTATGTATGGGGATATATGCACATATATTCATAAACCATGGCATGATATCATGTATATGTACATATTCATATATACATATATAAAAATGTGATCGATTAGCCCTGGCTGGTGTAGCTCAGTGGATTGAGCGCGGGCTGGGAACCAAAGTGTCCCAGGTTCGATTCCCAGCCAGGGTACATGCCTGGGTTGCCGGCCATAACCCCCAGCAACCGCACATTGATGTTTCTCTCTCTTCCTCCCTCCCTTCCCTCTCTAAAAATAAATAAATAAATAAATCTTTAAAAAAAAATGTGATCGATTGACCACCATTTAATGAATGACTGCTATGGACCAGATACAAGTTAGGTCCTGGGGGATAGGAGTGAATAGGATGGACAGATTGCTTTCTCTGAGAAAGCTTACCCGTGCTAGGAGGTGGCTGATGAAAACAAACGGGTAAGGAAATATGATGGTTGAAAGTGCTGTGGAATGCTCTGAGGACAAAAGAAAGTGCTTCACTATGTTTATGAGAATTTCACATTACATTGGCCCCCTGTGCTTCCACTTACTTTTCTGATTTTCTCCCAGCTCACAACTTGTTAAGTCCTCACTTCTCAGAGGGGAACCTTGACAAATCCCTTGACAGGAAAGGGCAACAAGAAAGTAACAAGGCTGCAAGAGTTGAACTGAATAGGAAGTTTTTCTAACATCCATGTGGCAATAGAAAAGTGGAGAAATCAATTGACCCTATTACAGAAACTTAAGGAAGTTTCTATGTAGCTCTTGTTGCTTCAGACAGAGCAGTCAAGTAGTGTGGGGAAATGCCAGACCGAAGTGGCTTTTGGCTCTCCCTGTCCTTATCCATTTTATTTCCTTCTCAGAAGTTAACTTATTTCAGAATTTATGTGCAAGGCTTTATTCTTGGCACCTGACCTGGTAACAGTGACAACAACAATAAAACCAACAAATAATTTGGTACTTATTTGTATTGCACTATACTAAGTGCTTGAAATGTATTGTCTCATTTTATTCTCCTCAGAACCTTGTGTAAGTGAATACATTATGTATTTATAAAGATGAACATGCCCTGGTCCCTGTCATCAAGGAATTTGCTATAAGCCCATGGGACAGGCATGCATGTATACAGTTAACTAACCAACTGGAAATAGGGCCATCAAAGAGAGGCAGCAGAGCTGAGTGAAAGGCTTAGGGATTCAGGAGCTCTCAGAACATGGTTGGAATTCCAGATGTATCCCTTTCTGGTGGTGTGATCATTGGTAAGTTCATCTCAGAGCTTCAGCTTCCCCATGGGTAAAATGGGGTTTGTAGTCATGTTATACAAGTCTGTAGTGCAGATTACATGGGAGCATACAGACAGCACCTAGAATGATGCTCACCATATACCTCTGGATACTATATGTTAGTTATAATGATAGAAACACAAGCAAAGTGTTGGGGAAGTTTGTGGAACATGGCATTTAATTCTATCGAAAGGAGGGAAATCAGAGAGGAAGTGGTGCTTGTACTAAGCCTTGAAGGATGGTAAGATGGGATAGTAGTAGGAGGTGAGGGCAGAAGGATGCTCCAGGCAGAGACAACAGCAAAGGCCAAACAGGGAGGTTTGGAAGTGCCTGGTGTGCTTCTTGTATGCAGAGTTAGCAAGTAGTCCATGGAGAAAAACATAGTAGAAAGGTAGATTGGAAGTTAGGTGGAAGCCAGGTAACAATTTCCTTTGCTTTTGTTTTTAGAATTGTTTTTTAAATATATTTTATTGATTGTGCTATTGCAGTTGTCCCATTTTTTTCTCCCCTTTATTCCCCTCTGCCCTGTACACCCCGTCCCACCATCATTCCCCTACCATAGTTCATGTCCATGGGTCATACATATAAGTTCTTTGGCTTCTCCCTTTCCTATACTATTTTTAACCTCCCCCCATCTATTTTGTTCCTACCATTTATGTTTCTTATTCCCTGTACCTTTTCCCCCATTCTCCCCCCTCCACCTCCCTGCAGATAACCCTCCATGTGATCTCTATTTCTGTGATTCTGTTCCTGTTGTTTTTTTAGTTTGTTTTTTTTTTAGGTTCAGTTGTTGATAGTTGTGAGTTTGTTGTCATTTTACTATTCATATTTTGGTCTTCCTTTCAACCCCTAGTTTGTTTTTGTTATTTTTAGGTTCA